AACCCAGTGATCTTTGTATTAACAGAGGGGTGAAATAAAAGCATTTGACCTATTGCCTTCTGCCCTTATTTGAACACCCCTAGAACTCAAGAAGTGGTGGGGGGTTGGGGTAAAGGACAGGACAGGTTGGGGGTTGCTGATGCTTTCAGACATGCACTTACCGGGGGTTGTTTCCGGGGTCGGCCCCGCCCTCTCTTCTCAGACCCGTCTTTCTCCTGTTTAGAGGCTAGAGGCTGGCTGGACTTCGAACTAGATTCACTCATCCTCCTCCTTCTCTAATGAGAGTTGATAAAGGGTAGGGGGATGGTGTTCTGAGTAGGGGAGAGAATCATTAAAAAAAAAAAATTAAAAATTCTTTTTGTAGCCACCTGCCACCATTCTCTTGTTCCTCCCTCCCCGAAGCACCAAGACATTCCCACTCTCCCTCCCTCTGTCCTAAGGATGGAATTCCCTGGCTCCAACCCAAGCTGATTCCTCCCCTCCTCCCCCAGCAGCGTCTGCTATCCGAGCTGTGGTGGGGGCCAGACAGGATGGAGTTAATCTGTGTCTTATCTCCCCAGCTCAAAAAGGCTCTTTGTCCTAACCCCAGCTTCTGCCACCCCCACAGGGCCCAGGGCAGAAGTGGAGGCACAGACCGCCTACCAACTTGGCTTTTCCAGGTAGGGACCCACCCAGATGCCCTAGCCCAGGAGCAAAGTTTGGGAGAGGAGGGAAGGTAGCTGAGAGCACAGACTGTGCTTAGCACCACAAACATCACTTAGGACCCTCCCTTCCTCTGCCAAACCTGTTTCACAGAAAAGAAACTGAGGCACTAAATAAAGGAGATACCACCATGAGGATGGGGCATATTTGTAGAGAACACAGGACTTACCACTATGCCTTATGTGACCTCAGGGAAGCTACCTAATTTCCCTGGCCTCAGTTTCCACATCTGTTAAATAAGGGGGCTGGTATCTATGATCCTGGGTTCCAGTCTAGCTTCAGCCACTGAACATTTGAGTATTCAGGGCCAGCTAGGTCACACATATAGACAAAGCTCAGGGCCTACAATCAAGACGACCCAAGTTTGAATCCAGCCTCAGAGACATACCTACCACTTGTGCGACCCTGGGCAAGTCACTTAACCTGTTTGTCTGTTTCCTCAAGTGTAAAAGGGCAATAATAACAGCACCTATCTGGCAGGTTTATTGTCAGGATCAAAAGAGATAATATTTGTAAAGCTCTCAGCCTAGCAGTTGCTATATAAATGTTTATTCTTTTCCCCTCCCAACTCAAGAGACTGAAAGATCTATGCTTCCTCCTTTTCGGTTTCCTTCACCCTCCCATCCCTTCCCTACCTTGCTATCTCCAAAAGAAGATCAAAGGTCCAAACATACCTTTTGTGTACCCAGGAGGGAATAGTTGGAGACTTAAAACTCCCAGAAAGTTCTAGAAACCCGGTTCTAGGTAATCCAGTCTATCCCATTTGCCTACCTGCCAGATCATTCTTTTAAAGCATCCTCTTAACTTTTCTCAAAGTTAAGAGAACTGAGTCACCTTCAGTCAGAAAAGTCTTCCAAACATTAAACCTGAGATTTTTCTTGCTGCAAAAAGGTGAAGCATTTCACAACCAGACAGCGAGAGGAGCACTGTACTGTACGAGGGAGGCCCAACCAGAAGCTCGCTCACCTAATGATAAATCACTTCCATTCCAAGCCTCAGGCCCTATCTGTAAACCGGGGATAACAGCCTACTACTAACCACCTCACAGGGTTGCTGTGAAGCCTATAAGGGAGGGAGACAGGAGCCCAGCCTTCGATTTCACTGGCACAGGTAACCCCTAGATGAGGAAATTCCTTCCACTAATGCAGATCTTAGAGAATTGCTGAGGGTGTTAAGAAGCTGAGGTAAAGTGACTTGTTTAGGGTCACAAAGCCAGTATTTGTCAGATGTAAGGCATGAACTAGTCTTCCTGACTCAGAGATGAGCCATCTACTAGTTTACTTCACCATCTCCCCTATTCCTTAATGTAATCCTAGAACAGGGGTAGGGAACCTGCATAGCTCTCTAGATCCTCAAGTGTGGCCCTCTGACTGAATTCAAATTTCTTAGAACAAATTCCCTTAATAAAAGGATTTGTTCTGTAAAACTTGGACTCGGGCAAAAGGCTTCACCCAAGGACTTAGAAGTCCACATGTGGCCTCGAGGCCGAAGGTTGCCCACCCTTGTACTTGGAACCTTGAAGAGAGGAAGCATGGTTCCTATGAGAGATTGGAATCTCTCCTTCCCAGATTAAAATATGAATTCCATGGGTATCACCCCATTCTAAGTTATTATTATTATTATTCCCAAGTTACAGATGGGAAGAGCAAGGTTAAAATGACCATTGATCACAGTCATAGTAAGGCACTCCAGTCTCTTGAGAGAGTAGAACCTTGGAGTTTGGACTCCCTGATCTTTTGTCTGTCCAGGATTAATCTTTCAGGAAAGGCTCAGATTCACTTGCTCCAAATTCCACACATTTTTCCCCTGAACACCCAACCCATCACTTCAATGGGAATCAGTTTTCCTTCATCTACAAAATGGGGATAAATAAAAACTTGCAAATGCTTATTCCTGGAGCATCACATCGAGAATCAAATAAGATGACTGAAGGGGGGGAAATAAGAGAAACAGACTTAAAGCTGAAAGGGATATTGGTCTGTATATGAGAAACAGAGAGTTTAATGGCTTGACCAAAGTCATACAGGTGAATGACAAGAGGCAGGATCTGAATCCAGGTTTGTCCTTAACAAGCCCTCCTCCTACTGGACCACATGTTCTTTAATTCTATATGCCAGTAACCTAAAGAAACTACAAGTCTTGAAACTTTAATTTTTTTGTTGTGTTTTTAAGTAGTTTTTTAAAAATAGTTTTTCCAGTACATACTCATATGTACGCAGATTTTAAAACAAAACATGTTTTGTAAACAAATCTCAATGGATTCTGAAGCCCCCTCATCCTTTTGCCCTGGGGAAATTCTCTCTACAGCAGGTCTCTGCCCTATTGGTAATTATCCTATTTTATAACATTTCAGATTTTGAGATACTTTTAAACAAGGTTGTTTGGTGATTTATCCTGCTTTGTAATTAGACAGTGATTAGAATCTTATATTACACCACAGGTTTCCGTTAAAAACTAAACAAAATTAATCAGCTAAATGAGAGCCCAACTCATATGAAATCTGGACCATCTGCCCTGTCCCTCCCCCAAGTTCCCAGCCAGGAACTGCAATTCACTCAGTCATCCTTTCAAGTCAACTCTGAGCACAAACACCTGCTTGTTCTGGGATAGGAGGTTTGGGGGTGGGGGGGTGAGGTAAGGGATGGGGAACCCAGCCCTAAGTATCTTCCTGCTTAGTCATACCTGAAAAACCTTTGAGACCCATTCTCTAATACCCACCTCAGTTGCTCCTTCTAAACTCAGACAAAGCTGTGTGTTTCTACTTCCTGGGAGAACGGAGAATCAAATTAAAATGAATGGCCTAACTAAAAGGAGATCCAATTTTTTGACGAGATAAATTAAGTCGTTCCACCTAGAAGTCTCGGACGACTTTGGAGCCCTTTGGAATGGACCTTCCCTATAAAGCCTATCTAACTCCTGCACTTTTACTAATGGGGAAACGAAGGTCCAGGTTGGGTGAGAGGTGGGAAGGGAAAGAGTGGCTTGCTGAAAGCCACAGATGTGATTTCCCTTCACTTCCCTTTCACTGGTGGAATCACACTACCTGGGTGGGAGACTTACACACCTCTCCTCCCCAAGGAAGCTGAGCTTGTGCAGAAACCAGGCCATCCACAACCCGGCAGGCAGGCCAGGCGGGCCAGCCTCCAAAGCTTTTGGGGGAACCTCATTCGCAGCCTTCTGTTTCCCACTGAGTTAGTGACTACGGAGCACTTCCCCACCCCCCAATGCCTACCAGCCAGCCTCTCTACACCCCACTCTAGCAGGGGGTTCCCGTCCCTTTAGGGGTGAAAGGGGAAACAATGGCTGAGTGTCGGGGGCGAGTGCCCCTTCACACCACCACCCCCAATAAAACATGGGGTGCCAAAAGGACTAGTTCCAACAGGGCCCAACAAAGCTGAGAAACCTGTTTGTGGGGGCGGGAAGGCTGGCCTGGCCGAGCCTGGGGTGAGAAGAGCAGCAAGCCGCCGGCTCTAGTCTCCAGGAGGGGTGGGGCTGGCTCGGCTTAAGCCCCATTTACCCAAAAGGAGCCCCGCCTCCTGGGGGGAGGGTCGCAAACTGGGGGTAGGGGCACCCACTCCTCCTCCTCTTCCTCCTTCACTACCTTGACTTTCCTTTCCTTCAGCTCCCGTGGGGGGATGGGCACGAACCCGACGCACGTGCCCACTCTCTCCCCCTCCCAGCCCCAGCTTCTCCCTCGTGCCCTTGCAACCCAAGCACCTCCCCCCCGCACCTCCAGCACCAGGTCCGGGTGGGCTCCGATCCTCTGCAAAGAGCAGCCCATACCCTTATTATTATAAAGCCTCCATGCAGAGAGGGCGGTGAAAGCTGGGAGTGGGGGAGGCCAAAAGAACCAAACCCGGCGTCTCTCTTTCCCGGGGGGCTACCTGCGGGCGCGCGAGTCCCCTCCCCCCCCAAACCTCACACGCCAATCCCCGGGTTTCCGCCTCTGAGACCGGGGAGGGGGCTGCTAAGAGGAACCCCCCGTTCGAATACGGTCCCCCCCACCTCGGCGGCCGCTCGCGCAGCCCGGGAGCCTGGGAATAAAGCCGGCAGCGCGCGCGCTTCCCGCCCCCCTCCCCTTCACGCGCGGCGGCGGCGGCGGCGCCCCCCGCCCCCCTTCCTTCCCTTCCCCTCCCCTCCATCGGCGGCCTCCCCGAAGCCGCAGGCACTCACCGGCAGCGGGCCGGCTTGGGTGCGTAGCTCCGGGTTGCGGGGGAGCAACGCGGACTGCGAGCGAATGACCTCGCTAAGCTTCCCTGCTCGGGCTCCTCGCCGCCGCCGCCGCCGCCGCCGCTTGTTGCAAATGCGGATCTGAAACCGAGAGAGAGGAGAGAAGCGCTCAGAGACCGCCGGCCGCGTGCTCCGCCGCCCAGGCCCCCGCGGGGTATTTATGTGTCACATTCGGGGGGGGGCAGTGCAGAAGGGGTGGGGGGAGGGAAAGGGGGGGACAAATAAATATAAATTTTTTAAAAATCAAGGCAAGAAGCAGGAAGCCGGGGCCGGCCCGTGCATTCCCCCCCCACAAATAAATAGAAATTATTTAAAGGGTGGTGGGTGGGGAGAAGGAAAGGGGGGGAGAAGGAGGGAAAAAAAAAGGTAGAAAACCGCCCGAGCAGCAGCCGCGAACTCACGCCCTCTTGGAGTGGCGCCAGCTCCAGAAATAGCCCCGGCTCACACTCCCAATTAGAGAAGCGCAGCCCCGGCTCAGGAGAGCTTAAAAAGAGAGACCGGGGGCAAGCGGGGGGGGGGGCAGTGTGGGGGGGGGCGGCCCGGGGGCTGGCCCGCGCGGAGGCTGTGTCACCGCAGGGGGAGGGGCCATGCAAATGAGCTGGGGGATTTAAAAAGGCGGCCTCGGGCTATCGTGCTAGGTGGGCGCGGATGGGGGTGGGGTGAGAGGGGTGGGTAAGTGTGGGCCTGAGGGATCAGGTTTCGGGAGAGGGGGGCCGGTTCGGGGCATGGCGGGTTTCTTAGTACCTGTCTCCACGTGGTCCTGGGGTTGGGGGCTGAAGGCGCGTGGTCGAGTGTGGGGTCTGGAGGTGGAAGTGCGTTACTACGCACTGTTCGAAGAAGCCCTGGGGTTGTGGTTCTTGGGGAGGGACGCACATGCCCGATTGGATAGTCTCTTTCCTTTTCCCCTCCCCCTTTTCCCCTCCCCCTCCCAGTTTCCTTTGGTGAAACTAGGGGTCTCTTTTCTTGTTTGTTAGGGGCAGTTGTGAGCTGGAGAGGCCGGGGTGGTGTAGTGAAAAGGGCGCCAGGCTTGCAGCCAGGAGGTCTTCTCTGCCTTTTATCGGCTGTAGGACTTAGAGGAAGTCAACGTAACCTCTGTGGGACCCAGTTTCCTCATGCGTGAAAAGAGGGACTTGGACTAAATCGTGTGTAGGGTCTCTTCTAGCTTTATTCTAAGAAAAAAACCAAAACAAACCTCAAATTCTGCTGTGGAGGTGGGGCAACTTGGGTGGGACGATCCGAAGTATGTGGCGGGGAGGGGGGGGGTGTACAGGTATGTACACACGGGCTTAGTCCTGGTGCCCCCCGAGTAGGTGCATGCAGAGTGTTAGGACTAAACCCTGAAAACACCTGTTAGTTAGCATGGACCCAATAAGAGAAAGAAAAAACAATTAGCCAATTTATGATTTTTCTCCTTATAAAGTACTCCACTTCCCTAAACTAAGTTAGGTTGTCTAGGGGCTTTATTCCTTGTCTACTTGTGAAAGGGTTGACCAAAGTTTGGCTGACTGGTGAAATGCGAGACGGTTTGAATTAAAACGTGTGTGAAATCAAACTGTAATTTATTAATGGACACTAATGGCCTGTAATCAAGGCACAGCCTGTTAGGGGAACAATTAGAACGTTTGGCTAAAATGTAAACCAGGGAATGCCCTTTGGGCAGGTGATCTAGCGATTGTTTCGATTTTTCTGGGGTTCCTTGTGCCCCACTCCCATCTGTATCCTCTCCCAAACCCATAAAAACGGGAGGCGGACACACTTTGAGGATGGAAAGAAGGAGGAAGTAGAAAGTCACTTGCAGCGAATGGGACAGACCTGGAGAGGAGAGATGGCGGCTTCAACTCCTCCCAAACCTTTGGGCCACTGAATTCCTGAAGAAATCCTCACACTACCACCCGTGATGAGGGGTAGAGCAATGCGGGGCTCGTGACACACTCCACTGTGACTCATCTGTTTTTTTCTTTATTTCTTCCTTCCCGTGTCATTCATTCCCTGGCCCTTTCCCTTCAGGAAAAAAAAAAGTTCCAAGGAAGAAAAACTCGGAAACCCCTAAACCAAGAGTGATAGTGAGGATCCGGTCCTGGCATGGGGGACCTCCTCCATTCTCCTACCTTGACCTGGACGTCTTTAAAATGCTTTTAAAGCTGGGGGTGGGGGAGGCACTGTGGAGTTGACTGTAACTTTGGATTGTGTTGAGATGGGTTTTTAGGAGGAGATAGAATTAGGGGCAATTCTAGAAGGGAGAAGGAAGGTTTGAATCATTTCTCCGAGGTTCAGGACCAGGAAATCTCGGAGAGAAGATGCCGTGTGGAGAAGGGCTTGGGAGAACGAGGAGGTTAAGACTGGAGGATGTAACGCAGGCCATTCCTGGAGGATAGGAGAGCAGCCCAAATCACATATATGTCAATGGATTAAAAAAAAACAACACTGAATCCCTTCCTCCGGAAAGAAAAAAAAAAGCAAGCAGTTTTACACAGGTGAAATCAGGTCACTTTGAACGCCAAAGGGCAGCTTTGAAGGCGGGGAGGGAAGAGTTGAAATCACAAAAAAAAAAAAAAAGCTCGGGGGAGGGGGAGAAGGCGGGAGGCTGCGAGAAGCAGCAGTCCCTCCACTAGACCTAGTCTTTCAGAGAGTGGGGGGCGGGGTATTGAGAGTTGATTGTATGTGACCCTCTAGGCGCTTTTAATAGAAACTGCTGGAGCTTCCTCTTTACCTCTTCTCCAACCCCCCCCCCAGTCATTGACCAGAGCAGCAATGTTGCATTCCCAAAAGTCCTGAATTGGGAGCCATCTTGTTGTACCCTAAGGATCCATCTGTCCTTGAAGAATGTGGTTAGGGTTTCCCCATTTTCTACTGGGGAAGTGTCTGAGGCTGGGGTGGGGGTGGAGAGGACTTGTCTGTTCCAGGGCTATTTTAGGTTTCCTCTACACCCCCCCTCCCCGTGAAAAGTGTTTTAACTGCTGGAAGTATGCATCTCCCTGGCTTCCTGTGTGGCCTGGATAGGGGGAGGGGCCTCTCTGCTATACAGGCAACCTGATGTGATGTGGAAAGAAACTTGGGTCCTCCTGGTTCTGCCATGAACTCAATAAGTAACCTTAGAGAAATGAATGGCTTCCCTTCTCTTGGCCTCGGATTTCTCTTCTGTTAAAAGGCGAGAATGGGGCTACTAGATTATCTCTAAGGTTGATTTCAGCTCTCTTATTGTAGAGTCTTAAGAAACCAGTGTACTTTAACTTCAGATAATTTCCCCATTCCTCCTTCCCAGATTTCCTGGGTCCCACCTTCCTGAATTCATTCATTCTTCAGCCAGTGTTGACTTACTTTACTATATATGCCAAGCCCTGTGCCGGGTATTTTGGAGGAATATAAGAAGATTCTCAGCCTCGAAGGTCTCTATATCAATCCAGCACCAAGACACACCATGATTTAAAAAAAAAATGAGGAAGCTTCAAGAGAGATGCTGTAAGACATCCTTAAGAAGAATGTTAGTGCTAAAGTAGGAAGTACAAAATTGGAGTATGAGGACAACTTACCTGTATCTCCTTGGGTCACTTAATTTACCTCTCTGGGCCTCCATTTTCTCATCTATAAAACGACAGGGTTGAACTGAGTAATCTCTAAGGTCATTCTATCTCAAAGTCCATGATCCCATAGTCTGAATTTTAGTCCCAGCTTTGCTGTTGTGTTAGCTGTGTATACTCGGGCAAGTGATTTCCACTTCTTTTGGGGACTTAATTTGCCAAACTGTAAAATGAAAAGGTTGGACAGGATACACAGGTGGGGAAGCTTTGGCCTCAAGGCCACATGTGGCCCTGTAAGTCCTCAAGTTTGGCCCTTTGATGGATTCCAAACTTCACTGAAAAAAAAATCCCCTTAATAAAAGGATTTGTTCTGTAAAACTTGGATGTTCCGAAGCTCTCATAAATTGCTTTCAGCTCTAAATCTGGTGTGCCTCCTAATACCAAATTTGATCAAATACTTTAGACTTTTAGGAAGGGGGAAGATTATTTTTGTGGGTTAGAGTGGGCTTAATGGACAAGATAGGTATTGAAAGATGAATAGTGCTTAGCTCGTAATAACTAGCATTTATAGAATGTCTTAAGGTTTGCAAAGTGCTTTACAAATATTTCATTTTATCTTTACAACAACTTTGGGAGGTAGATGCTGTTATTATCCCTATGTTGTAGATGGGGAAACTGAGGCAGACAGTGGTTAAGTGCCTTGCTCAGCTTCACACAACTACTAAGTATGTGAGGATGGTTTTGAACTCGGGACTTCTTGACTCCAATCACATAGATGTTTAGTAGTAAGCACAAATTAACCAAAAGTTTGTTAAATTTATAGAACTTGAGTACAGAGAGGAGTCCTTTTGGAACAAGAGAGATGCTGGTAGGCGCATGTGGACAAATGTATGTAGAATTTTCCCTGTCAGATGAGGGGAGGGGAAGAGGAGTGAGGTGCTCATTTTGGTTGGGATTTAATCATATATAGTGGTTCTGGCTCTATTCATTGTGATTTTACCTTGTTCATTTTTTATTTTGGTAATTTAATTTTCTACTCTCAAAAAATCCAGTTAGCTGAATATAATAACATGAAAGGTAATAGGGATAAATGCAAAATCTTATACATGTGTTTGAGAAATCGACTTTACCAAGGTGGTAATGGGGGGATCATTTAGAAAGCAGTTTGAAAAAGATAAATGGGGGTTTTAGTGACTTAGATATTCAACATAATAGTGTGACTTAAAAAAACATTCATCTTGTACTGCAGTAAGAGAGGCCTGGCTTCCAGGAATAAGATGGTGGTCCCTCCGCACTCTACCTCGATCAGACCTCATCTGTATTATGTCTTTCAATTCCAGACAGTACCACATTTTAGGAAGGACACTGATTTCTAGAAAATTCCAGAAAAAGACAGCTGTAATGGTCGAGAACTTTTGAATCCATGTCATCAAAAAGAACTGTGGCTAATAAGCCTATAGAAGAGAAGATTCAGGGGATAGTTGTCAATAAGTATTTATTAAGCATTTACTGTATGCTACATGCTGAGGATACCAACCAGAGCGAAAACAAGGTCCCTATCCTTAAGGAGGTCACCTTCTTCTTCTTTGTAGTCTTTAATATTTTATTTTTTTAAATTACATGTAAAGACAAATTT